TTCTGTTCTTAATGGAAACTTAAACAACTCAATCCTTTTTTTTTAAAGGATACGATTATACTGAAAACAAAGAAAAGATACTGAGAGGCTTGTATAAGACCATCCTGAGCAAAAAAACCACTACAGCTCAGGAAAAAACTAACAGCTCCATATAGCTGACAAAAGAAAAAAGATGAACCAGAAAATAGTTGCCTTCCAATCTAGCAAAATAAGGAGAACGAAATTCCTCAAAACTGTGGGCAAACCGATGCCCACAACACAGACAAAAACTGAACTCTATCCCAAACATTCTCAAAACCGGAGAATATAGCATGACTGACCTTGATAACCACCGTTCTTCTACTTTGCTCTGAGCATGTTGTTTTCCTGGATCATCTGAACTTGACCAGGAAACAAGCATTTCTTTCAGTGTCTAACTAATGCGTGATTTTACAGCGTGGCCCCCAAAAAATAAAATAGCAACGTGGGTCCTCCTAGAAATGTTTAAAACAAAATCCTTCTGTTAAGTGGAAGACAAACTATACTGTTTAAAAAAAAAAAATTGATCTAGTTTTGTAGACACATATCATCTTTCCTTAAAGCTTGGTTGTGTTGCAAAATGATTTATATATTATAAATACTTATGGATATTGCTTGACAGGTTACAGGATGTAGTGCACAGTGAGAAGCGCTTGTATCTGGTTTTTGAGTACCTGGACTTGGATCTGAAGAAGCATATGGATTCTACTCCTGAATTTGCAAAGGACCTTCGCCAAATAAAAGTGTGTCCCTCTGCACATTGGAAGTTCGGGCATTCTTTGATATAGAAACTTTTACTTTTAGAAACCTTTAAATGACATGGTGTCCATTGAGTAGTTATGTGGTCAGAAAATTATGGTATTTCATCTCAGGTGCAGTGTTCTATTTTTGTTTTAAGAAATTTAGCTTTACTAAATAAATATTAGGCTATCATCTGGAAGCTTTGTATTTAGTTCCTTCTATTACATTTTTCATTCATTTACCTGTGCAATTCTTCTCTTAGTTTGCGAAGCAGATTTCAAGTCCTTATGGCCCAAGTAGTGTGATGCTTGTGATCCTTAATTCTAGTTTCTACTGAGGTTACCTTACATCAGTCTTGGAGTTTTCTTGTGTTACGTAATCTATCCCGATTTTGACAATAAACTATTGAATTACTACACTTACAATGGAATTTAATTGGTCATGTCCTCTTTCTGCAGCTGTTTCTTTACCAGATTCTCAGAGGCATTGCTTACTGTCATTCACATAGGGTTCTTCATAGAGATCTTAAACCCCAGAATCTGCTGATAGATCGTCGTACCAATGCACTAAAGCTTGCAGATTTTGGACTGGCTAGAGCATTTGGTATTCCTGTTAGGACGTTTACTCATGAGGTCTGAATGCGTCTCTAGTAGATCTTGAGATTTCACTGTTGCTGTAAAATTCAGATTATTTTTCTTTTCTTAGCAATTGAAAGTGACAAAAAAAAAGAAAGATGTGGCAGTTAGTAACAGTAATATGATGCAGTCACATGTACTGAAATTAAACTTTCTAACAGCAACATTTCGGTTGTTTGATATGTTAACAACTGAGAGCTATTGGTGTGTGTGGGTGTGTGCTTTAATGTTAAAAAAAAGTGATTTATTTATGGTGGTTCGGCATAGGTGGTGACCCTCTGGTACAGAGCGCCAGAGATACTGCTTGGTTCTCGCCATTACTCCACTCCAGTTGACGTGTGGTCAGTGGGTTGTATATTTGCTGAGATGGTAAACCAACGGCCTTTATTTCCTGGGGACTCTGAGATTGATGAATTGTTCAAGATATTTAGGTGAAAGATTCCCAACCAAATCTCTATGCTTTTGTTTCCTTATTTTTTCCCTTTTCATGGAAGTCATATGCATCCAAATGTTTGTAAACCATATAATGTATTGCATCATCCTCAATAGATCCTATCCTACTCACACTGTTGCTTTTCATATGAAGAATCATGGGTACTCCGACTGAGGATACATGGCCTGGAGTGAATTCTTTGCCTGATTTTAAATCTTCCTTTCCGAAGTGGGTTGCTAAGGTAATAAAACTTTATGTGTGTTGCTATCTACTCCCATTATAAAAATCGTCAACCTATGTGCTATTGATAATATTAAGTAAAGCATCCTTTACTTTGTAGGAGTTGGCAAGTGTAGTTCCAAATCTTGATTCAGCTGGTGTCGATCTTCTCTCGGTAAGTTCAGATTCAATTTCTGCACCTCATTTGGGAAAAGTTGTTCATATATGTACATCAACACTGTGATTCAATTGTGGGTATTAATACAAGTGCCTAGCTGATCCCGCAAAGGTGTTAGTAATAACATATGGGCGGAGTACTAGAGTAGAACTTGAAAAAGGAAAAGAAACAAAAAAGGGTTCCTGGACTTTGATATAGCCTGGAAGCAACTGCATATGGATGTTTTTTGTTGTCCATTGTTCGTTCTACATGATAATTTGTTATTTTCTTTTAATGAGTCATTTTTGTTGTCCATTGTTCATTCTACATGAAAATATCTCATTTTCTTTTAATGAGCCGAATCCTGCAACATGACAACTTGAGGAGTTAGAAGGATTTGTCAATCTCTAAAGTTTTAACGAGTCCAGTCCACATGACATCCAGAAAATTCGAAAGGCCTTGATAGGGGAAGAAAATGAATGATAAACACAAATAAAAGAATATATTTTGCAGTGTCGTTTTTATATCGTTGAAGTACTTTGTTTTTTATGTTCCAGAAAATGCTCTGCTTGGATCCCAGCAAAAGGATTACGGCCAGGAGTGCTCTTGAGCATGAGTACTTCAAAGATATTGCGTTTGTACCCTAATGCTCCCATCTTCACTTCCTGGCAGAGAATGTTTATACTATAGTGTAGCATCCTATGAACTTTGTTTGAATGAGAATTTGTGTGTTTGTGATTTTTCCTCCTCATTCCTCAGACATAGTTCCGATTCGTTGATTTCCCTTCAGCGCCTGCCCTCAAGTTTCTTTCCTGTACCTTCAACTTTTACCCTTCATGATATACAGCTTGTAATTGACGGTTCATGTCCTGTGAGAAACAATTTTCCTTCGAGGAATGTAAAAGATAGGTTTGCTTTGGAGATTTTCTCATTTCACTTGTTCAATGGAAATGATGCGATCTCATTTTCATCTTCCTACCCAAGCAGGTTGACCTTAATTTTGGCAGGAGTTCTTCCTGGGTGTTGTTTGTTGAGAAATTTTTATGATTGATAGCCAAATGTGTGCCCTGTTATGTTGTCAAGTGAGATAGGAACGCTTAGATTTTGGAATTACTTGCTTCTCAAGTTATCTCACTGGCTTGCTGCATTATAGCGAGGGTAATTATGTTTTTCGATTCTGGCAAGCATGGCAGAATTTTATTTTTAATGTTTGGTTGGGAAATGATAATCACACTCTTTTTCTTCCGCTATACACATGCTTAGTCATGTATGTTTTTCCATTTGATTGTTCAATTTGGTGATTAGAAATAAAGAAGGGTATGCAGGAGAAAGAACAATGGTGTGATTATCAATGGGAGGTGATTTTCACTTTTTTTGGCCTCTTAGACACCTATTTTTTGCCATCATTTTTTGACGTCAGATTGAATAAATCAAATGAAGACTACTGACATGTGTGTGAGAGGCAAAGAATGACGTGTTTATTATTTTCCTTATCAAGTTATCGTTTGCCATGAGTCAATGACCATTTTAACATAATGACTGCAAAGTGAACTTTTGTCATTGAACTGAGTCAATTGACTCTCAATAGTTGAAAGGGAAAAGCTGATTAAAAGAAGAAAAAAATGGAAATAATATTAAGGTGTGACAGCGGAGAGCCACTTACGATTTAGCGATACTTTTTTGACTAGTAAGAGATCTTCAATTTGATTCTCGTAAAAAATATATTCAAACAAAATTATATGGTAGGTTTGTTGGGTGGCTTAGTCCAATTTAAAGTTGACAGAGGAAAACATTGTTGTTCTGCCATATGGTGATGGTGTTGCTTCACACATCTCCTCGTTGCTTGAAGCAAATGTTGAGGCAGTGTTGCCATATTTTCCTTACAGTTGCCCACATTTAAAAATGAGATGGCGTCCACGTGTAAATTTGACACTTCAACTACCTATGTACGGAAAGAGATCATCTCCGGATCTCTTCCTTCAAAACCCACGGATCAAGTGATTTGGATCCTAAAAATTTGATTCAACGGCTAAAAACAGAGAAGTTAGTAAAAACTTTTAAAAGTTATAATAATTTTTAGCCGTTGGATCAAATTTCAAAGGTCTAGATTACTTAATCCATGAGTTTTAGAGGAAGAGATCTAGAGAGGATATCTTTCCCAAAAATAAAGGAAATATGATCGCTAAGGTTGTAAAATGAAGAGAAACTTTTATGGGGATGTGACAATGTGGCAGTGGTAGTGACACCACGGCTTGATAAAAAGTGACACGTGTACAAGTTTAATTACATACCACGAGCATGAACATTTTTTATTAGGATAATGGTTTTCATTATATACTCTTCTGCCGCATCTTTTCCCTTTTTCATGTAATTAATTTTTATTTGATTTATCCAATCGAAGGTTAGAAAAATCATTAGAGTCAGTCAATTCTCTTTCAGTCAAACAATAAAGTGCTTATTATCGTTATTGTACGGATTGGGCTTAGATAATGATGGGATTCTATAGACTTGGAGTAAATTGATAAATAGAAGTCAAAACATTTAAAGGGTATGATTGTTAAGTTAGGCAAATATATATAAACATGTTTACATAAGAACATATACAATTCATCTTGTCTTTGCTTCGATTGATAATGATGTCGTCGAAAGAAAGCAAGAGAAGAGAAGGCCTACCAGAAAAGGAAGGGGACAGACCAGTTTGAAGCAAAACCAAATGCAACACGCGTATGGAAGTAGAATGTTATATATACGTGGTGGGTTTTTCATTGGTGGAAGCAGATAGAGATAAAGGGCCAACTAGATTTGGAACTTGTTGGAGTGACAAACAATTCAAATGCAGAAAATGGAGAGCCTTGGAAGTAATTCCATTTCCAATAGTAGTGGGAGGCTGTCAACGGAGGAGAACGACGATGAGGAGATTTCGAGGTTGGCAATATCGGCATACCACGCTAAAGAGGAAGAGATCGAGAGGAAGAAGATGGAGGTTAAGGAGAAAGTTGAACTTCAGTTGGGTCGTGCTGGGGAAGAAACTAGGCGTCTCGCGCAGATTTGGGAAGTAAGTCCTATAAATTAACTCTGCTGTTTATTATTTTTATATTTTATACCAAGCAACACTGGTATAAGTAGGAGAATGCTCTAAATTAATTAAGCTGCAAGTCTTGCATAACTCGATCGCTTGCTAATGAAGTTATGATATATATTGCGCAATCTTTCCAACCTAGTAGGAGCTGGAAGTGATGGGAGATCCCATGAGGAGGGAACTTGCAAATGTAAGGAAGAAAATCGACATGGCTAATCGAGAGCTGAAGCCGCTGGGACTGAGCTGCCAGAGGAAGGTGCAATCTAGCATTTTACACCAATATAAACATTCGATCAGGCATCTACTCTGCTGGCATTATATGTATATATTCTTGAAAATTAGAAGAAAAATAAACATCATCTTATCTGTCAATAAACAGGAAAAAGAATATCAAGAAGCCCTGGAAAGCTTCAATGAAAAGAACAAAGAAAAGGCTCGACTTGTAACCACACTTACGTAGGTAATTAAACATAATAACTAAATTATCATTAATTAATTGTCCAATCCTCAAATTTAACTATTTTTATAGGCATGGCCTTCTGCACTAATCGGAACTTGCTTACAATTTGTTGTAATCTGCTTAATTACCAGCTGTTGACCGAGAGTGAGAAGCTGAGGATGCAGAAGCTAGAGAAGCTGAGCAAGAACATAGAACCAACACTCTGAAATTTTCTATTTCAATTTGCATCTTTTCCAAAAAGATAATTATCAATGTAAAAGATTAAAGACCGAAGAGGAACCTGCATTCAAAGTTTTATATTAAAACACCAATGCATGCAATTACTAATTTAAATACGACATGCATGATTTTGCAGCTTATATATTTCATCAACGTCAAATGTGATGGAGTCTAAATTCAGTAAGTTAAAATCATAAATTTACATGACGCGTACACATTAATGTATTAATAAAATTGACTAACGAGGAAGAATATACAAAACAAAGAATGATTTAATGACTTGTATGTATATGCACTTTGAGACATTAACAAAATTCATTCAATGATCAATTTATGTGAGAGCATATGACATCTTTTTGTATAAATAAACAATCTTTATGATTCTCTTATAAAAATCCATGTAGTAAACCAACATTATCTCCTAATCTTAATATAAGTCAGTAGCCACTTAGTGCTACGGTTTAGTGGTATTCTTATTCACTTACAAGTGAGAGATCTTAGGCTCAATTCTCGCCAAAGGCGAAATCGAGTCACATTATTGCTAGCTCATTGTGAAACTAAGTCCATCATCTCCCCTTAATATAGATAATATTGTTTGTTCAAAAATAAAAAAAAGTGAGTAATTACCGAACTCAAACATCTAGGCAAAGTACACTTTCACTTTTGTCACATGTACTTCAAGGAATCCTAGTTGTACTCCAAGTCACTTGTATAAATTTATACTCTGAGGCATCAATATATCTAACAAGATACTCTTTGGATCTTTCTGGTGAGGATCTTAAGAATCTGTGAATCATATCTGTTCATCGTACATCGTGCGATCAGTTTTTGTCAAGTACTGTTTATGTTTATTTTTAAATAAAAATATGTAAAATAATTTATGACCTCACGATGTATGATGAATGACCATGATTTACGAATTCTCAGGATCCTCACAAAGGGGATCCAACGAGAATCCGGACTCTCAATACATTTCATTCACTTCTCTAGTTTTTATATATTATTTAGATCTGTTTTGGGAATAAAGGGTAGGTAGTCATAAAAGAACAAGAATTCAAATTTAAATCCTATTAGGTTTTTATAGTATCTTTTAGATAATATCCTATTTCAGTTGTAATACCTAATTTGTAAGGAATTTACCTTTTCTATTGCTATAAATAAAAGGCATAATAGGGTAAGATAACACACCTCAAAATTCACCAAATCTCTCTCTTTCTTTGTGTATCGCATTTCCCTCTCTATAATTCTTCAGTTAAATAGGCATACAACAAGTTATCAATAATAACACACCTCAAAATTCACCAAATCTCTCTCTTTCTTTGTGTATCGCATTTCCCTCTCTATAATTCTTCAGTTAAATAGGCATACAACAAGTTATCAATACGCTCTTATTGACGCTAAGAAATTGAAGGTTCGTGGAGGAGGTTCTACAAATTCAAAGGCTCAATTTTTGTTTTCAACCAATTAGGTTCTCCTAAAACACAAGCTTGATATCTTATGAGCCCCTGTTTTGCATGAAAACATTCTCCATAATGCAAGAACCCCCAATCTATTATTTCATAATTTTACTATTATATATTTGTATATTTGCATATATTTGTCAATTTATATAAGAATGTTCATGCACACACTATTGATATATATATATATATACAAGCCCTTTAAGGGGCGGGATCCCCATTTTTTTCAAAAAAATTAGGATTAGTTGTGAGGCTCACTCCATATCGAATTTCAACGATCCAAATAATCTATTTTGTAAGACTTGATTCATATAACATCCTTACAAAAATTCAATTCAATTCAAGACCATTTGCCTATTTAATTATCAAGATGAGATTTCCTTGTTTCTTATTGAACAAAGTGTTCATCAATTTCTTTAGACTTAATTGGATGTCTCAAATATTTCCAATTTGGTTAATATTTTGTAAGTATAATCCATGAGGTACACCTTGAAAAATAGATGGTTCAAATCGTTGAAATTCGATGAGGTATGGGCCCCACAACTTTAAAAAAAAAAAAATATATATATATAATACAAATACCGATAAAAGCAAAAATTGGGAAAATAGTGGTCGAGCCACGACTTGGAGGCACGCCGAAGCTATGCATTGAGTCTGTCACGCCCAGGACCCCAGGTCAGTGGGAAAATAACCATGCGTCCGGTGCGCGAGTAAAAATAAAAATAACACGAAAAACTAAACTTTTCTTATAAAAATAGCTTCAAAATCCTTACAAGTGTATAAATTAAAAACTTAAATCTCTCGTCTCTACCACAACCTCAGCTTATCTAGCCTTGTCTTACCAACTCATCTATAAAATAGAAGGGTGAGGGGTGAGCAACAATCACCGTCGCCCAGTGAGTACAATACATGATATGCCAGTCAAGCGTGCCATTTTAATCACTCTAAAAAATACACTAATAATATCAAAGCTTTAGCCACATAATTTCATATCACATCATCCGTTTACGTGTTCATTATATCCTTCATAAATTGTAAGTCACCCTGTGACCCCTAATGGCCATCTGCCCTAATGTCCATGTGTACAGTTTACATTTATCCCTTGAAATAATGCAACACTAAAGTTCTCATGCTCCATGAACAATCTCACACATAATGTATATACTCGCCAAAACATTTCTCGAAAGCTAACATATTTGACTTGAAAATGATAGAGATTTGAAGTACAGAAAAATCACATGATAACTCATGGTTTTTAGTTATCAGAAAATAAGAACATTTTAAACACATCACATAAACCACTCATCTTAATTGATAGCTAGAATCCCGACAAGACAAGCGTACTTACAATCTCCACAAACCTCAAACCCTAGCTCTCTCTCTCTCTCTCTCTCTCTCTCTCTCTCTCTCTCTCTCTCTCTCTCTTTCTTTGTCCTCTCTTTATATATAATATATATACATATATATGTACACACCACAAATATGTGTGGATAGACCTGGCATTTTAAACCCAACCTGTTAAAATTAATATTCGGATGAGTAATAAACGGGTCAAGTGGTTAACCGGTTAACCCGTTAAATAACGGGTTATTTTGGGTGAACTCACAAAAACCCGTTATTGAGGATTTTTGTGTAATTTCAACAGTCCGTTCGTCACTCTTCTCACTCCAACGGAGAAGGAGAAGGAGGAGAAGATCTTTGCTTCGGAAGGTAAACAACTGCTCTTCATTTTCCCGCAATCCAAACAACTTTTCAGTCTTTGCTTTAATTCTTTGTTCGATTTCTCATCAAAATTTTCTATTATTCTATTTATTTTTCCAATATATGTTAAATTAAACCTAGATCTGATTCCGTTGATTAATTAGATTCCTTCAGAAATTCATAACACTACTCCTCTGTTAAATTCCAGAGTGACACTGAAGAAATTGAAGGGCCTCTGTTAAATTCCAGAAATTGAAAGGCCACGCCATCTGCAATGCCACAATCCCACACAGGCCACGCCATTTTTTATCGCAAGGCTTCGGTCAGTCAATACGACTTCGAATCGGACCACAGCACCCAAACCCAAAAATAAAAATGTTAACGGATGAAACGGATGACCCGTTAATTTAACGGGTTAGCTTTGAATGACCCATTAGCTTATTGGTTGGATTTGAATAACCCATTAAATTAACGGGTCAAATTCAACCGAACCCATTCACAAGTCTATGCGCGGACATGCATGCAATACATGCACGGCTTCCCATCAGCCAACAAATGTTTCTAGTGGTGAATAAGAACGAAATGAAAGCCCTCTACTTATAGGCATCTAAAGTCGGCGTGGCATCAGCCACCTCATGCTTGTCTATAACGCCACTAATCAAGGAAAACTGTGCACTCTTCCTAATTCATCACCTCTTGCTATATACTCACAACCACCTCCTGCTTGCATAATTTGTAAATGACAGCTCCTACTAATAAAAACATGAATCACAAAACACTTGTCCATCATATGCAAACTAATGACACCTCCACCTTAATCCTTCCAACTCAAAACCTAGTCATGGTAATGGTGAAGTGTGAGCATGCATAGCTACATGCATCACACGTGAGCAGCTATGTAAAAACTCATCTAAGGTTCATTCTAACTAAAAAAATAACAATAACCACAAATACAACTAAAAATACGGGACCTTACAGAGCCGCTCCTAGCTGGCCTGAAACCAAGTCACGGTGAGCTGCGCTACACTGAGCTGAACCGAGCTCGAAGCTCGCGCATGCGCTCCCCAAGACGATGTTGTTTGGTGTCTCGACCCAACAGTAGCCTTCTCGGCCTTGCTGCACGTATGACCTAGGCATGCGAGCCTGGGTTTCTTTCTCTGTTGGGCCTTTTTTTTCTTCGGCTGCCTCTTCCAGCATCCTGAAGCTTGCTGGGCTTGCCTTTTTCCTATGACCGTGCACTGCTGAGGCATGGAGCTTGCAGACAGCCCACTGGCCTTTTGTTCTCTCGGCCGGTGCCACTGCAGTAAGCATGCAACTTGCTTTGCAGGTTACCAGGTTGCCTGCAGAAGCCTGTCCGAGCCCACAGCCTGCAGGCTTTTGTTGCAGGGCCGTGTCTTACACAGCAGCCAGCATATTCTCGACCCAATGTCTTTCGGCTCCACTGCTTCGTATAAAGGTCCTTTAGGCTATATTCTATCAATTGCTTGGCCTGAAGCGATTTAAACCTAATATGATCCGAACACCATTATTATTATATTTGCTTTTACTATCCGGTCCAGACTTACTGAAGTAATTTAGGTGACCAGTAATCCATTAATTCGACAAAAATCAAAAAACTTTTGACCAGCAGTCCACTTTTTTGGAAATTAATGATTCAATAGTTTATTTTTTTTCTTTGAACCATTGACATCCTTTTGTAATCCTGAAACTACTCACCCTTGGGTTCCTGAAGCAACCCAAAATTCATTACACTTACTTGTATATTGTATTATGTGTTCTGTGTTCTTGCAGGTATCACTTTTATGAACCAAAAGTTCATACTAAACTCGAACTTGTAGTTTTCAATTTATGCATTTAAAATCTAGTCGATAATGACATGTGAAGGTTAAGGCTAGGGAAACATTAATATATATATATATATATATATATTTTTTTTTGAATAGTAATCGACCTTACCCTTCCTCTTCCCACACAATAGACTTGTACACAGGTAATTACGGTTTAAAGAAAATAACAAGAACAATTTTATTGCCTTGCCCTTGCCCTTCAAGATAGGTGGACTTGCTCTTAAGGATTTGGCCCTGAAATCTGAGTCTGGGGTTTCCATATAGCATTCCACTGTATATGGCCTCACATTTGAAGATGGCCTAACATTTCTAAGTTTCCCTTATTGAAACTCAATCCAAGTTTACCAATATATTACACCGTCACTCCACACATACCATTGAATCTAAAAGTATTCTTAAAGGAGATGTCAAATTTTAATTAAGTTTGAAAGCTTATGTAGCACTTTGATCATTTTCTAAATTTTAGATCTCCACCCGATATTTAAAATTTAAACAATTATTTGTTACATTCGTAATTGTAATATATATTTTCAAAACAAAAAAATAATAGAGTTTAAAGAAACAATAAGAAACATTTATTAATAATTAAAAATTTTGAAGTTGTTGTCAATCCACATCAGGCCACATAAAAATTGACTTTTCGGTTGGAGTATATTAATGTTGTCTCTTTTTACTATTATTGATGATGTAGACTTTTTTTACTCCCGAGATGCTCTAACGAGTTCAAACGCCTTTTCCAACATAACCCACATTTAAATGCACCGGCAACCATAGAAAATTCACGCACCAATTTCCATTATCATCAACAAACCCAAGCAACAATTTTTCACTAGCTTCGTTGAGATATGCACATTTATTTCAGATGCCGTTTGATAATCATTTCGTTTTTAGTTTGATAACTATTTAGTTTTTTTTTTTTTTGGTACACTGAAATATTATTTAGTAACTACTTTCAGTTTTCAAAAACATGAAAAACGGAAAACCAAAAAGTGAAAACTCAAGACCAAATTTTAAAAACTTAAAGGAAGCATGAAAACGGAAAGTAGTTGCAAAACAAGATTTTAATTTTCAAATGAGTCGAGAATAATTACTAGCCAAGTGTTGGTGTCCATTTTACAGTAGCCAATACCAACAAGTTGACGACCGTAGTCGAATATGTCGAGAGCGAGTTCATTTACTAAACATGTTTACATATACATTAACATTATACCTTAAAAAGGTCCGCAAAAGTTGTGATAAAGTAAAAAATAAGACAAACATCTGTAGCTTCAGCGGATTTCGACGAGTTTATAGTGGACATGTACAAGATCTTTGCACCAGTCTAGCAATGAGTTCATCAATGGAGGTTTGTGCCAGCGAAACATGAGAGCACTACAATGCCATAACTTCAAAGAAAATGTGGATTGGTTAGGGCATATCTTTTAGACGAGTTCCCTTTTTGTTTTCGTTTTTCCAGCTCCGTCCCTTAATTTGGCAGTAGTTGTTTGTACTCTGCCAGCAGCTTTGGGATGTCATCCAAACGCAACTGAAAACCATGATGTAATTAAAAGCAATATGAGAAGAGAAACAAAGAGAAAAATATAAACGGAAACTAGAAAAAAAGTTTGGAGATGCAGGAAATATGGGATCATGTGATAAGGACAATAATTATTTCGATTGCCTTGCATAACTAAGCATGATTTATACCTGGTTAACATTTCTGATATGGTAGAAACCATAAGCCGCTTTTCCAGGAAAACTAGACTCGAGGAACTGCATATCGGATCCACTATTCGCCCTATTATAGCCACGATGAAAATTCCACGAAAAGAAAAAGATGAAAACATTAATCAACCAAGTTAGCAAATTAGCAACCGACAAATACGGGTTAGAATACAAACTTTCGTGGTTAGTTTATTTTATACATGGTTATTTTCACCAAGCAAACATAATGTCAAAATATGGACAGAGACCAAAACATTTGAGATGCCACTGGACTGTGTCTAAGTTTCAATTTTAATGATATAAAGAAAAAAAAAGATAAATTGATCACGTTTCAGTTATGGAATATCTCTAATAGATTTGTCTTCACAAAAACAATCTGGTGCACAAGTGTTGGTGTCCATTTTACAGTAGCCAGCTCCCAAACAACTCACTCAATGTCCTCGGTTACTAGAGTATCATCTTCCTCCTAAACCCTAAGCCTCCTTTCACACCATGCTTCAGAGAATCATCTTGCTCCTACCATAAGAGGACTCCAAGAAGCATTATTTTGATTATTCTGTAGCTCACTGTACTCACTATATTTACATGTACGCACAAAATATTTAGTAGAAGTATATCATCAAGTTTGCTTTTCAGTTTAGGAGTAATCTATTAGTTACACTAAGCAAAAATAAGAGAAGCACGCAAAAGCCACTGACCTTCTTGAGCTGTGATGTAAATTTTATAATCATTATACTGCATCTAGGTTATGCACCCAACTCATGTTTCACCACATACTATGTGAGGATCAAGACCTAGAAGTGAATATGATGTGATTACCATGTGCACAACCAAAAGGTAAAATGAGGATTGTGAGCTAGCCGCTTCTAGTTTAAGCAGGTAAATCTTTAATAATAACCATAATCCTGAGATAAGTTTAGCTGATCGTAAATTATGGTGTAAGATGTTCTTACTGAAGACGACGAGTAATCAGGCGTTGGTAGTCCCGAAGCAAGGGGCCAAACTCCTTAAGTGGGATAAGCCTTGGTGTAGATTTCCTCCAGTGGTCACGAAGGGCCTGAGTTGTATTTCATTAAATTTTCACTCTTTTACATCGCGGATTGCATTTGACATTTAAAACTACCTAATTGATGAATGGTAAAGTACCCTACCTGAACCTGAACATCTGAAACGTGTTCATTACCAGATACTCTTTCACCAACCAAATTCGAAGCCAGTTGAATGAATTCTTTGTCTTCCACCTCGTCCACAACTGGAACTCCGTTCCCAAGGAGAGAAACAGATATCCCTAATCTTTTTTGTAACTCCGAGACAGCAGATTCTTCCATTTGGTTTTCCTGTTAAAATTAGATGGGTCACTTACAAAGTTAAACTCTACCAGTAAACTAGTATTCTTGTGAGATAATATAAAATCCATATTAAAAGTAGGACTTAATTGGAGGCATTTGTAAAAATACCTTGATATTTTGGACATTTTCATTTCCCAACTCCACATCCTTATTTTGGATATTTTGGACATTTGGTGAAGCTGCAAGTAATCTCTTTGCAAGGGAGTCCTCTACAGAACAAGCCAAAAGTGACAATTATAACATGCTAGAATTAGGTTCTAATTCAAACGCCATGAGGCATAAAAAAAGGAAAAACAAGGTTCTCTTCTGCTTGGATAAACTATACAGCAAAGATCATAAAACATCTAATCTTAGCAAATACGGCTTCTGCCATTCTTTCCTTCACTAAGCCATATTCTAAGTCTTTTTTCCTCAACTTTTTTCTTCACTAACAAGATTTAGATGACATTGGAGCCTGCCCATCATGACCAAACAGACTTCCAAGAGTTTGATATCAATCAAAATTGTTTAACCGTTATATCAAACCCTTTCATTAGATTTTCACAAGTGCATGCAAAATTTCATAAGCATTCCAGCAAAGAAAAAAGATATTAATAAATTAAAAAGTGAAAACCAAACACAAATTTTTCCCTTTTTCTTTTTCTTTTTTTTTTTTTGCATAAAGTTTAGTAAGATTCCAAGTCTAGGTAAACTTTTATGCTCGGCAACTGCAAAATATGAGGCTCTGACCTAACGCATCCCAATCCATCCCATACCACTTAGTTTATAGCACAAAGGCTCAAAGCACATAGAGGATTATTCATAACCTAACTGAATTCATCTTCAACAAGTGGTTTATAAGACAACAAAGCAAATTATCAGATGAGAAAAATGACAGCATAATACCTTCAGGAACCAACCACCACAGATCACCAAATGTTGATTTTCCATCAAAGCCACCAAATAACAGATAGCGTGAACCCATACATGTTAGTGAATGGTATGCTCGAGCAGGAGGAGGTTCATTGCCAGTAGGCAAGCGCTTCCATTGGGCAGACACTTGACTCCAGAAGGAAAAAGTAAATTTAAATAATTGCATGAAAGATGCAAAGCATCCAAACCAAATCAAGAGAAAAAGTGTGCAGGGTTAGGAAGTATAGGGAATGGTTTTCAATTTTGTGTATATCAAATTATGGAAAAGAATGATGCAATTAAAAACAATTGCATCGAACACATAGAAATGTTTCGCACAGAGTTGTCCACAAATATATAATTAAGAAGATAGTTTCTTACTCATTTAACATAATCTCCATTTTAAACCAATAATGCAATCCATTTACTATTTCATGTTGCGATGTTAAGCACTGGATGTCAGTGGTCATACCGAAGTCCTCAGTACAACAACTTAAAAGTAGTTCTGATTCTCGTGACCTTATTTTTTTTCCCTTTGTTCTTGCCCCACATTTACAAAATATTAACACCAATCTTAATTCTTCATTTGGTGATCTGCTTCAATGATGAGAATCATATAAGCGCTCTGCTTTCTGATTTTAGTTGCATCTGAGCCACTACTATTTTCTTACTTTCTCACTTTCTATCATATGATTTTCCCATCTATTTTATAGAAACAAAAGGATAGGATTATTGAAGATTGCGGTATGCAAGTGGACTATGAAAAGCTTTTCACTTATTTTTTACAAGTGAAAAAAAATTAAAAAGACGAAAAATGGTAAACCCAGTAAGAGTGCCGTAACGGTTGGGGACTGAAATTTTTCTAGCAGCACTTGTGTCTATTGAATGGTAGGCCTATGGTTTCTGTACTGTTTTCTACATAAATATTTTAAATGAGAGTATTAACATGGTAAAACTATAAATGGTTGATCAATACGCATTAGCAAAGTTCAGTCAATAGTCAACAGAAAAAGGCAAGAAGCAATTACCCCTGTCTAGAATAATGCAGTCATTGTGATAAATGTCATAACGACTCAACCAGCCACCAGTTCCATGGCCACCAAAGAGCAACAGCTTCAAAAGGACATCAAGAAAATAGTGTGAAGATTTAACGATAAATAAAAACAAACAAATAACATGATAAATAATTTCCGTTGTCATCAATATAAATATGATTTTTGTAATCAAGAACCCTACAATACAGGACTGGAGTACTTGTTTTGGCCAAAAAGTCTCATTGTTAGATACTATCGCATACATCTTCTTCGCTACTCTTAAGATCCAGATATTAAGAGTTTATTTTTTCAACTTATGCAACACAATTGTAAAAGTAACCATGAAATGAAATATGCAAATTAAGGAAAAGTTTGATGCTACTCTTTCAAGTAAGGATATCTGTCGCCAAATTAAAAAGAGCTTATATGTTCACACATGCCAAACTGACTGAGATCACTTGTATCTAAACTTAACAATCAAGCTTTGAACGATCCTTCTGCTGCTACTAAGGGCATCCTACCCTAACCAAGTTCTCCATAATAACAAACAGTACAGAAATATATTAATTGTAATGAAGTAGAAGTCGTCCATGAAGAATGTATATTGACGAGACTAATAAAAAAAATATGGAAATGTCGATTACATAGTGCCCTCCAGATGTAATAGTATGGCCACAACGAGCAGAAGGAGCTTGTCCTGGAAGCTTCAATTGGGTCCACCCAGGTGTTTCATTCTCTACCTTCCACAACAAAGACGAATCACAAAATATAGTTGAATAACTGAAAACCAAGTAATAATTATATATATAATTGACATTCCCATGTTTTTGTTATTAGTCTGTATATATAAGGAGTTTTTTGAATTGACACGTTTGTAGCTTAAACTCATGAATCTAAGTAAACAGCGGATGTGTCAAGCTAAAATGACAATATATGAAAAATGAGAGCCCCAACACAAGTGCAGGTGCACAGTGTCAATATTGCTTCCGAGCTAAGAAAATAGAGGAACGGTTCCTTAATCCTTAATTCCTTATAGTACTAGTTGGAAGACAAACAAAATTAAAATGACCATCTTTGGGTGGCTAAAACTCAATTTGGCCAGGTGCAAACAGATGCAGCAAAAAGCTAATTGTAATTTGGATGGCATTAGAAAGAGAATAGTCATCATTTTGACAAGTGCTCTAAGAGGGACACATCAGTCATCCAGAGAGGAAACATAAAATGTAATAAAATAATCCGACAAAATAGAGCAATTTTCAAAAACATGAGAACAAAGTAAAATCAAAAGGAGAAGCCATGACGAAATAGTAAGCAATCAAAAGGAGAAGCCAAGAGAAATAGTAAGCTACCATAGAAAAAGGGAATAAACTGCTAACCTTCTTCGATTAGACCCTTCAAAGCCCATAAATCACCCATTATTGGACCTCCACCTCCTATGAAAGTCAAGACAAGTATTCATGTCAGCTAGACTGCACATAAATAAACCGAAGCATCTTATGCTTGCCTTACATAGAAACGCAAAGATTGGCACATATGTTTATCAGCAATACAAAGAACAAAAGGGAAAGGAGGAAAAGAAAAAACAAAAACCAAATCAGCAGACTTGAACACTGATTAGATTTCTATTAATGATTTTGTATCTCCTTGTGCTTTAATCCGAAAAGTTCCAGGTACTCATTGGGCCAGTTAAACAGTAGAATGTAGAAGTTTGTTACGCCAAATAATTCAAGCATTCAAAAAACTTACGGACAATATAGTAGTAGTATCACTTAATAAGGAAAACCCCAAATGGCTAGTGCAAGAAAATAGGCACTGAAATTATCTTCAAAGGGGATATCCCATGGAAAGAATGGTCTGCCTTCACAAGTGCAGGATATTTTGTTCTTATATGAAACTTTATTGGGAAATGAAAGAATACAAAATAACGGCAATCTCTAAGACATAATAAACAGCAATCAAAGAAATTACATCAAAATAACAAAATCAATTAGGACAAAACTCTAAGGCACCGCACCGCAGCTTCAGAATTAGGTTTCAATATGATAAAAGAGGAATCTTTATTTCTCAACTTCAATATGATTACAAAATATATCATTATTTAGAAAACTCTACAAAAAACAGAGAGAGATAAACAATAAAAAACAAAATAAAATGAAACTTGAAAGGAAGAGTTATTATGAAACCCAATTATCAATAGAGTCAAAGCATGTTACTTAACCTCTGCCACCATATACAAGCAACCGCTTCTCAACCATGGTAGCTGTATGGCCACATCTGGGTGGAGGCAATGACCCAGTAACTGACAGCTCCATCCACTCTAGTGATACTGTATAGGGAAGACAATCAAGCTAAAACTGATTTATGACCATTTCAACAAATTTAATCAACCAAACATGAAGCAGAAAATAACAGATAATTAAAAAATCATAGAAAAAAATGTTTACTTGTGTCCAAGAGATACACATCTGACAACCACCTTTTACCATCCCAGCCACCATAGCTGCAATTGTTTATAACTTTACATTTAACTTGGCAAAAGTTACTAGATAACCGTCATATGAACTAATCAATAAGGAATGCAAAAGATATACTCACATAACAATTTTCCGATTTCCAATAGCTGAAGCTGCAGCAAAATCTCGTGCAGAAGGTAAGTCACCAAAACTTGTCAACTCTGTCCATTGCCATATATCTAGAACAAACGTAATTCTTTAAATAAATAATTGATTACTCATCAGTCAGAGGAAGACAAAAAGAAAAAAGCATTAAACCAAGTAGATATAATTCTCATGCCTTATCAGCAGCATAAAACAAATAGATGCTTACCAGTATCTAGGACCCAAAAGTCACCTAACCTGATAATCGAACAACGTCACTAATACCATTTGCATTAAAGTAAAAGAGTCATAGAGCAGAGAGTTGCAGATAGAACATATTGTGAACATACCTCTTGCCTCCAGAACGCCCACCAAAGATGAACATATGACAATCAATCACAACAGCAACGTGAAATGCTCGTGGGCCTGGACCAACTTCTCCATCGGAGCCACCAGTGCACTCTGGCTGATACCATAATTTGTTATCTGAAAAAGTAAAAGCCCTACATTGAGATGCTATAGTAAAACCTGTGTGAAAATCTATTAACAAAAAGTAAACTAAACTCCCACTCATAGAAAACCTTAATCCACATAAGCATTGTGCCATGGTGCATATAATAATAAATACAAGTTTCCTTGTGCTTAAGTATAGATCCATTTCACCTGTTCATTACCGTAACATGAATTAAGCACAAAGTGATCCTTCAAACTAAGTCAGGCAAGTTTACTTAAGAGAAGTATTACGACAAAAACGATTAGGACTAGGATGTTGTTAGGGAAACATTGTTGCACCAATGCTAAATGGAGAGAAGTTCCTAACATGGTGATTGCAGACCGCGATATCATGCATACAATCAAAGATGATTTTCAAGAAATAAAAATAGTTGTATAAAAATCTGAAACACTTTTAAAAAGTTTCTAAGATCCTCAAATAAGTATAAAGGAGAAGTGCAAAATCCCCTTTACCATTCAAACTTATGATGCAAATCCAAGTCAATATCTATATACTATATGAAACCAACTAAATTTCTTCATTATGATATATAAAAACCATCTTATGTCTGTTCATTCCATGAATTCTAAACTCATTTTCGAATACAAACAAACAGTTGTATAAGCAATTTAACAGTTACTTTATTTAGAGTTTTGTTAAATAATTTTTTTTTCTTTAAATTAGTAATTATAATCTTGTTAAACGTAATTGATTCTTCATTAACCCAGGCAAGGTCGGGAGTCCAGTTATCATTCTCTCGCCAGATCATTTATCCCAAGATCTCGATGCATTAGTCTTTGTGTATAATACGAATTTCAGTAACACATCAGAGTATAGAGCCAAATAAAAATTTAACAAATCAAGATAGTCAGTATAAGTGAACAAAAAGTAGAACCAAGGACACCCAGAAATTCAAAAGAGTAAAATTTACATAATTTCATCGAATTTCAAAGAACCCGGATGACAAATATCAATAAAAATCAGACCAAAGTAGACTGAAGTATAACAAACAGAGATAATTAGAGAGAGAGTGGGAAACAAAGTACCAATGTCATAGACCACGATATCGCTGAGAAACCTCTTTTCTACAAGGCCTCCGAACACAACCACCTTTGATCTACCCACAATGACCGCCGTGTGACCACTGAGAATTCAAAGAAACCAAAATTCAAATGGAAAATCTAGAAAGCTATAACACATATATGAGAGAGAGAGAGAGAGAGAGAATTTGACCTGCGAGGTTGGGGTAGAGTTCCAACAAAATCAGAGGAAGAAGCTCGAACCCAGTAATGCATTTTCTCTGATTTCGCTGTGCTAATCACTGTCGCTTGGGATTGCCCACCAAATAACATTCAGGCTGTGTTGAACGAGCTCGAACCCAGTTTATGCGTACGAGAACGGGTAGGTCTTTTTGACTTTTTGTCCCTGTAGATTTGCTCCATCTCGGCATAAGTTGCACTTGTTTAGAGCAACTCCAGCGTTGGAGCCTTCCCCCCGGCAATTCACTATTCAATCCACCTAATGAACAGTAATTGCCCTTAATGAACAGTAAGTAGCCCTGGCAATAGATTTTGCATCTCCACCGTTACACTTCTATAGCCCTGGCAATAGGCAATAAAATATTAGTATTTTTTTTATTTATAAAATTAATACAAAATAATTTTAAATGTAATATCGGATAAGATTTTTAATCGTTGTCGGTGCGCCACGTGTCATTATCCTAAGTATTATTAAATAATACAAAATAAATAATTATAATATGGATTTCTGATAAGATTATTAACCAATCACGTCGCGCCACGTGTCATAATCGGTTCACAATCTTTGAGGATAGATTTCCATCAGATTTTAAACGAATGACGACATGCCACGTGTCATAATCTGTTAACAATCTTGGATGATAGATTTCCATCAGATTTTTAACGAATGACGGCATGCCACGTGGCATTATGCAGAACCTAATCCTTTCTGAATCCTCTATATAATCCACCATCCATCTTCACAAATCTCACACCAAAATTCTCAAGATCTCTATCATTGATCTCAAAATTTCTGCTTCCTTATTCACAAAAATCAGTTTCAATATTCATAGTTTCTGTTTCTTTCTTTCAATGTCTTCTTCTTCTTCCTCAAGGATGATGTGGGAATTGAATCAGGAAGAGGAAGACTTGTTTAACCAATCAGAATCAATGTTCAATCAGCAGGGGGTAAGAAATGAGAGGGAAGAAGATGAGGAGCGTCAAATGAGAGATGACGACGTAAGAAGGGGCAGAGCCTCACATTCCCGTCGAGTCATCCAAGCTGCGGCTCAGATCTGCAGGCCCAGGCGTTCCGGAAACATTGATAGAAGCAGGCAACGACGAGGTATGGAACTCTTGGATGATTATTTTGTTTCTAATAGTGCATTCCCTGATACGTACTTTAGACGTCGTTTTAGAATGGAACGACATTTGTTCAACAAAATCATGATTGCTGTTTGCAACCATGATTCTTATTTTGTGCAAAAAAAAGATGCTTTTGGTGCTATGGGTCTACTGCCGGAGCAAAAAATTACTGCTGCCTTGCGGATGCTTGCATATGGAGCATCTGCAGACCAAGTGGATGAGATAACGAGGATGGGGCAATCAACCATTCTTGAGTCCCCGATGAGGTTTTGCGGAGCAATCGAATCTATCTACACCGCTGAGTACCTCCGCAAACCCACACACATGGACTTGGAGCGGCTGTTGAAGAAGGCGGAGATGCGTGGCTTTCCTGGGATGATTGGAAGCATTGATTGTATGCACTGGACGTGGAAAAACTGTCCAAGTGCATGGCAAGGCGCTTACGGGGACAGAAAAGGGGCAAAAAGTATCATTCTGGAGGCGGTGGCATCTTTTGATACATGGATTTGGCACGCCTTTTTCGGGGTCCCGGGAGCTCAAAATGACATCAACGTCCTTGCCCAATCCCCAGTGTTCAACGATGTCCTGCAAGGAAAGGCACCAAAAGTTACATATGAGGTCAACGGACGTATGTACGACGGGCCATACTACCTAGCTGACGGCATCTACCCGCGCTGGTCAACATTTGTCAAAACCGTGCCACGTCCGCGGAGTGCGAAGGAAAAACACTTTGCAAGCTGTCAAGAGGGGTGCAGGAAGGATGTGGAGCGTTGTTTTGGTATCCTCCAAGCTCGCTGGGCGATCGTCAGGGGTGCGGCCAGATTGTTTGATGTAGAGTCGCTTCGATCCATCATGATGACGTGCATCATTCTTCACAACATGATTGTGGAAGATGAGTACGATTATGAAGCTGTTGATGAATATGAGCCAGACCCGATGAACAATTCAAGAACACGTATATATTGTGCTCATGACGCCACCGATGACCCCGTGCAACATGAGCCATTACAAAGGGATGGACGTTACAATGAAAGGCTCATTCAACGATATACTGCATTTCAAATGCCAGACATGCACAATGCCCGACAAATTGACTTGATAGAGCACCAGTGAGCATTGAAACAAGCTGAGGATAATTAAGTTCATTTTAGTGTGTTATTTTGAATTTGGTATGTTTATGTTATTTTATTTGGTGTGTTTTATTATTTGGTATGTTTATGTAATTTTTTTATGTTTATGTTTATGTAATTCTTAGTATATGTTTATGTAATTTATTTATGTTTATGTTTATGTAATTTTTTTATGTAATTTTTTTATGTTTATGTTTATGTAATTCTTAGTATGTTTATGTTCATGTTTATGTAATTTTGTTATGTTTATATTTATGTAATTCTTAGTATGTTTATGTTTAATGGACTTTTAACAACATAAATAACTTACCAAATTAAATAACTTACCAAATTAATTCTTAATATAAATAACTTACCAAATTAATTTGAATAAATATTCATGAACATGGAAACAACATAAATAATACAAACAATAAATAATAAATTACAACCCAAAGTGATTGGAAAATTATGGGCTCCGATTACAAAAAGTACTCTATTCATCATCACTTAACCAATTTGTGCTGCTAGGATGATCTTCTCTTGCGGTGCTAGAACCACCTTGGCTTGCTATTGTTTCTCTTGCACGCCTCCTTCGCACCACGTCCGCTTTCTCTGACTTCCAAAAAAATTTAGAATTTGGAGACTTCCCTTCTAAAGACATGTTCATAATCTCACGATCTTGTTGAGCTCGTCTTTCTTCTCTAACATGTTCCCTTTCTTGCCTAAGTAGCTCTCTTTCTCTCTCATTAGCATAAAATTCTCTCTCAACAGCTGCTGCTTTTGATGCCTTATCAGCCTTATCAGCCTCATCTTTCGCCAGTTCCCTCGCCAAAGTCAATTCACCTTGGCGAGTAAGTTCTTCCATGAACTTTGCATAATCGTTCTTGGAAGCACTCCCTTTTCTCTTTGTAGCCTTCTTACCTTGAGGCCTAATTGGAAAACGGGTCGAACCCGACGCTTGTTCAGGGAGGGGCGTTTCGGGCACTTCTTCTGCATCATCTTCATGAACATGATCGGGTGTAGAGTTTAGAGGGGTGCTGTTCATGTGCACTTCTGGACCAACTGGCACAACTCTAAATTTAGGACAATCTTTGACAATATTCCAACATTCCCACCGGTTGAATGATTTATTTTTGCCTTTGGTTTTGGCAGCATACCAAGCTTGTGCTTGAAGTTCCTACACAATAAAAATAAGTAACAAATAAATAATACAAATAAATAATTATAATGAAAATAAGTAACTAGCAAATATATACATATATATATATATAAGTAACAAAGATAATGAAAATAAGTAACAAAGCAAATAAGAAGGCTTCAAGTTTAGTAAATAATGAAAATAATTAACAAATATATATATATATATATACATTAATTTTAATGAAAATAAGTAACAAATAAATAATACAAACAACATAATTATAATGTAACAAATAAATGTAACAAATAAGTAACAATAACATAATTATAATGTAACAAACAACATAATTATAATGTAACAAATAAGTAACAATAAATAATAAATTTTGTACGTAACAAATAAAGAATACAAACAATAAATAATAATATCTTGTTACCATATCCGAGTAATTTTCCCCACTTCGAATATTATTACTAGCTTGTGCCAAAGCGTCTCTCCACGTACTAAACGATTGGCTAAGTAATTTCCAACGACTGGACATCGATTCTTTGGTTCTTTTCCCACCAATTTTCTCAAGATAATTGGTATGAATAAGACTCCACATTTCTCGCAACTGCATCTCATTACCCGTAAGCGAACTATGAGTAACTTCAACCCAGCTAGTACACAACGCAACATCTTCAATAAGCGACCAATTCGTACCTGCACCAGTGGTCATTTTGTTGAAAAAAAATGGATTCAAACTTTGAGACAAAGAAAGGAATGTGATTGAAAGTGGTTGAGAAAATATGAAATTGTTGTGAAGGTAGATGATAATGAGAAGGTATTTATAGAAAAGTAAAAACAATTTTTTTTACAATTTTTTTCAGATTTTTTTTTGAATTTTTTTGAATTTTTTACATTTTTTTTTGAATTTTTTTGAATTTTTTACATTTTTTTTTGAATTTTTATTCAATTAATTAATCTCTGCCGTTGGATATAAAAAAATTTGAATTCCAACGCTCCAGATTGTGCCACGTGTCACAACGGTAACTTTTCAGATTTTTTAAACTATTTTTTCATTTATTTTTTAATTTATAAAGCATTTTAATATCCACCGTTGATCTCAGATCGAACGGTGGATATTAAATCTGACAGTTTTAAAATTTTTTACCGTTGAGATCTAACGGTCCACATTAAGTGACCGTTAAGATCTAACGTACCGTGGGAAGCCACGTGGCTTCCCAACGGTAACAGACAAAAGTTTTTTTTTTTTTTTTCTGATTAAACTGTCAGGACGCGCCCCCACGCGCGGGTGGGGTGCACGCGCCTGACACAAAAAAAATAAAATAATACGCTGACGCCACCCTGGCGTCAGCATGACGTCACTCCCACCCCGGGCTCAAGGCCTGTCGATTCCTCACGGGCCTGGCCCTCGGGCCTCCCCCGTCCCCCGGCCTGCGTCACGCTGGACGCCTTCCACCGGCCCTCGGGCCTTTGTTCTGGAGCCGGTCCCCCGAGCAAATTGCAACGGTGGGAGTGCTCTTAGCATGTTTACTTACGTTAATAGTAATTTCAAAATTTAGTTTCTAAATTATTATTTCATTGAAAATTAGGTTTTTCAAATTTTTTTTTTCAGAAAAATCAATCATTAAATAATAAAAATCTGTCAATTACATTCATAATATTATATTTCAAATTACTATATTCAATTTTTTGTCAATTTAAGTCACATTACTTGCATATAATACATATTAAAGGATAGATTGATAGTTTTTCATTAAAAAATAGTGTATCGAGTTAACCTTGGAGGGTAAATCGATAGTTTTCCATAAGAAATAGTGTAAGTTAACTTCAGAGAGTAAATTAGACGTTAGATTCCCAACTTATATGAAATGTTAAGGACTTATAGGCCAGAAAATGATAGTATTACACTCTAAAACGTGTCAAGTGATTTTAGTTGACGAAAAATTGGATAATATAGCTTTGAATATAATAGTAAGGATGAAATTAGCAATTTTTAATGAATTTAGAGACTTATTTTACCAAAAAAATAATTCAGGAACCTAATTTTCACTGAGATGATAGTTCAGAGACTAAATCAACACTTCACCCTTAATAGTGTAATGTTACCCGTAAGTTTCTCTTCACATAGCATTGCACCATTAACACAAAATATCACAAGTGTTAGAGTGTCGGTGTATTTGGGTCATGAAAATTATTCAAATTACTCGTCACGGGTTTGATAATGAGAATCGATTTAACTAGCCTCGTAAACTTAATTCTTGATTTTCAAATATTAGATTACAGATTTTTATGTGAAATCTACACTTCTATTCATTCTTTGTATGTCAATAAGCACAGTAAGTTCCATGAATTAAAATAAAACCGGTACCCATGTGTGTGAATTTCACCCTACAGTTTAAGTTTGCATTCAAGAGAAATATTAATGAAAACCGGCCACGCGTGCCTACCGATGACGAAACTACCATTTTTTTGTGCGTGAAAATTATAAACATTCTATTTTATTTTATTTTTTCATACAATGATATTTTTCACATTTGGATTAAATCGCACAATAAGACGGCATATTATAATGTCCAAGGTTGCAGTTCATATGTGTGCAAAATTCATGTTGAGCTACTATAACTTGGATTGCTTCTTTTGATATCACAAAAAAAAATCTTCAATGAGGCTGTGCCTGGTGCATAGAGGTGCTTATATGTACAAAAAAAACTCCTCAAAGAGAGCAGGTTACAGGGTTTTAGTGTTTGTAGTCGGCGGTTTTATTGAAATTCTGTGAAATAATGGTTATTGAAATTTTACGAAACAAAATATACCAATTTTTTTTAAAGAAACGATAGCGGTTTTATTGAGTCAAGAAGGATAACACAATCTTTTAGGATAATAACAGTAAAATCAAGAGCTTTAATCAAACGGAAAAAGAAAAATGAAGCTCGCAACTATAAATTACAACTGATATACCTACTTCATCATTAATTCCTTCTCGTACAAAGTCGAACCAACTCTTCAATCGAATCCAGCTCTTGGCTCTTTTTCGATGTCGGGACTTAAAAGAATTGCATTTAGCAGCAATGTTATTAGTAATTACAATACAAGGATTTATTATTATTGAGTGTATCAGATACACCATCCTGATATTACTGCAAGCTAATTTGCACGCTTAATTTATTGATTCTTTCCCTGTACGAATTCGAAGTTGCACCAACTCATCAACCAGCCCCTCTATCTCTCGATCCTCTCTTTTTCCGATGTTGTCTCTCAGTTCCATTGCCTTTCTTCTCACAACCTCCCCAATATTGTTTTCCATCACATCTTTGATCACCTTTGCTACCTCTTCTCGTTGCAAACCTCCTCCTCTTCCAGTTTTCTTGACCTCCACACCAACACCCAGCTCCTCTACTAGTCTGGCGTTATATGGCTGGTCAAGATGCATAGGCATGGCTATAATTGGAACACCGAACTTCATGCTCTCCAGTACAGAGCTCCATCCACAGTGGCTCAGAAATCCACCGACGCTAGAATTCTGCAATATCTTTGTTTGTGATGCCCAACCCTCCACTATCATTCCCCTCTCTCCCACCCTCTCTACAAACCCTTTTAGCAATACCTCTTCAGCCCTAGTTATTTTCTCTTCCATAGGAAACCGAACAACCCAAATGAAACTCACTTTGCTAAGCTCTAACCCATGAGCTATCTCTTCTATTTCCTCCTTGGATAAAAAGTACTCACTCCCGAAGGAAATATACACAACCGAAGATGTTTCCCGTTTGTTCAGCCATTTGATGATGTGATCTGTTTCTTCATCTTTGTCTTCTTGATCCTTAGTAGGGTCGTGGAGCAGTGGACCAAGAAGCAGAATCTTGCTGTCCATTAACTCATAGAGGTAATCAACATATTTTCCTTCAATCTCCCTGAATGTCTTTAACAAAATGAGGTCACAAGAGCGACCAGTGGTAATAGGGGATTGCAGTGGAGGGACTCTGTCATCCTTTCTATTGTCATTTGATGAAGCTGGCGGCATCATACTATTGAACTTACTAATCTCGTAATCGCGAAGATAGATTGCGGGAAACGGAAACCGGACACTAGGGCCCTTGAAGAGACGATGGAAAAGAAATGATACCGAAACAGCGCTGAAGATGAAAAATTGGATGGTGGGAATATTTTGATCCAAACCTAGAGACAGTGCCCATGGGACAACAAAATCATATATGAGAAAATCAGGGTTTAGGGTTTTGAGGATGTTGGAAAAGTAAGGGCTTGCCATTTGCAAAGCCTTTTTTAGGGTGGGCATGAGGTGGGGTGGGAGGCCATTGGTGGTGTGGTAGTGAGGTGCCAGTTCTGGAAATACATCGTGTGGAAGATGTAGTTCAACAAATTCAATGCAATGATTGTATCTTTCAGGAAGTTTTGGCTTGACGGAGTTGAGAATTACAGGCGTCGAACAAAAAAAGATATGAAAATTTCTCTCGCTGAGCTTCTTGGCTAGCTCGAAGAAGGGAGAGATGTGGCCGTGAGCTAACCAAGGAAGCATAACAACACTCATGATACTATTTCCATGCCTAGAATCCATTTGGAAGTCTGTATCTTGAAGTTGTTAATTGGTGGTATATATAGTACTATTCACGTAGTGATGGATTAAATGCCAAAATATAAAGAGGACTCATAATAATAAATGGAAAACTAACCAAAAGCTTCAAAAAAAGTTTTCTTTTAATCATCAGGACAAATTTTTTTTTAAAATGCCAATGCTACCCTTCAAACATCAGTACAAAATTGGTCCAGTATTCAGCAAAGTTCACGTGGTCTTCACCAAAGAATACATCCAAAAGAAGAAAAAGAAGGACTGACACTTTCAGATAACATTTGAATGCAAAAGATAAGGTGGCAAACATTGCAGCAACCAAGCCAAAATGGATTCACATGACCTTTATTAAAGCAAAGACAAGTCAACCAGCTTTCAGAAACTGTGTACTGTCACTATTCAAAAAGTTGTAAATAATTGAAACGTTATTCTGTCTTAATTTTTGTATATAAGGGAGCTTTTTCTCCTATGCAGAAATAACCTTAACACCTTAACATCTCAACACACCTCAACACCAGATACACACCATACTTCAATCCTCATACACTCAAGCATCTGAAACCTTCCTAGCATCCTTTGTAAACACTTCTCTTTGTAAACATTCTATATATATCAATAAAAGTTCAAGTGTATAGATTCAAGCAATCTCCAAGTCTTAAGTAAGTTTTCTATTCATTCTTTTCTTTCGTGGTTAAGGTTGAGCAATCTTTATTTGCATCAAGAATCAAGTTTTATGTCTTTGCAGTACTAATCAAAAGTCCTTGCACTGGTGTTTTGGGGCGCATACAGACGGCAGAGAAAAACAAATACAATGTAATATAATATAAAAAAGTATGAAATTTAATCCAAAGAAGAAGCAAACAAACAAAATATCCATAAATCGAGTCATAGCTTAGTTAGAGGATTAAAAACTTCAAAACCACCATCCATCAATAGAAAAGCTTGTTTTCTCTATTAGAGCTATTAGGGTTTTGGTTGAAATGAACGTAGGATAAACAAAGGGTGATGCTAGGGTTTAATTATAGTATGTGGGTCTATTGATAAATTTGATTCTTATTATTAATTTCATTTTGTACTTAATAGTAATTATACAAGAGGGTAAAATAGACAATTAACATTTAAAATTGAGTGATGTTATTCCCACCCCATTGTCTTATCTTTTCACCCACCTTTTATTGAATATTTTAATTACAAATTTGTTCATTTGTAAAATGACTGATAAGGACATTAATTATCCTCTTTTGCGTCAAAAAAAAGGTTGGGTTGCACACTCAGTCTATCTTAAACCCTAACTCATCTTTCCATCTCTTTTCATACAGAGAAGGCATAAAAAAATATATAAAAAATAAATAAAAATAAAAAAAGGATTTAGATGACTTTTTCGTTGAAGAAGTAGAAGATGATGCCTCTATGGAAGAGGTAGAAGATTACGTTTCTATTGAAGAGGTAAAAGAATAATTTTGTATGTGGATCTTTTGCATTTGCCGCACCATATATATGTCATCGAAGTTTTCCTTTTGAATTTGGATACCTCTGTGTTTTCCAATTGAATTTGCATACTTGTGACTTCAAGATTAGCAAAATGGATTTGGGCAATATCCTTATTTTTATTGCTTATTTGAATTTGGCTAACATATGTTGAGAAACACAAAACTCACTTACGAAAATCTTTAAGCAAATCAAACAATTCTTTCCTTTTTTTTATTGTTTCATTGTTATGTGCATTTTAGAACGCTTGGAATGAATCAGCAGCACCCTGGCACGAGAGCTAGTTGAAATACCAAGTTTGTGATGCATTATGAAAATTATATGTTGTTTTATAATTTCATATGCATGCATATTTTAAAGGTTATTTTGGGAATAATAGTGGATGGGAAAATAACATTTTAATTTTTTAACTTGTTAAGGTGGGAATGATTATAACATGGGTGGAGAAATAAGACAATAGGATGGATCTAGTAGCTCTCTTAAAATTTAAGTTGGGTGTAGAAAGAGGTTAGATGAGTTTAAATAAAATTTCTCTTCCTGATTTTGTTTGATTTTGTATTTATAATCCTTGTATGAAAAAAAGTAAACGTTTCATGTACTCCGAGTCAATGACTTGTTTATATTGTACTTTACACTTATCAATAAAATCATCTAGTCTAAATTGTCTACATGGTATCACTTATTTATGTCTCTCTTGGAGTATTTTTTTTCCCATTACCGACTGTCCCCCTAGACACTATTTCTTGTCGTCCCCCTTCTATGGCTCACGAAAACGCCTCATCCTCTACCTCTACTAGTTCTTTTCTCTCGGGCATGAATGTGGCTTACTATCTTAAACTCACCGAGTCCATTTATCTTCTATGGACTTGTTAGATGAAGATCTTCTTGGTTGGCCATGATTTTTTTCCTTATGTTAATGGCTCGAACCCAGCTCCTACCGCTACTTTCTCTGCCAAACATAATCCTGCCTATGTATGTTGAACAAACAAGATCACCTTGTGTGTAGTTATCTTACGTTTACCCTCTCTAAGTCCATCCTCTCTCTAGTTTTCGGCAAACCCTCTTCAAAGGCAATATGGGATTGTCTCTATGAGCACTTCTCACAAGCCTCTAATGCAAATGCTAGAAATCTTCAATTTCAGTTACTTGATATTTCAAAGAGCACTCGTACTATTTCTGAGTATCTCTAACATGTCAAATCTATCTCCGATAGTCTTGAAGCTATCAATAGCCCCGTCTTAAATGAGGACTTAGTGACTACAGTTTTGAAAAGGCTTGGTGGGGACTATTTTATATTTATCATGGTTGTGATGAATTTTCCCCTTCCCACGTTCACTGACCTGCGTTGCAGACTTCCTTCCTTCGAGGCCCAGAACTGATCTTCTGCTGCTTATGCGCAAAGCTATGTTTATCTCTCACTCATCCCTTACTGATGTTGTTTAGGCCCAACCTCCTACCGTGGGCCCTCATCAAGTGATGCTTCTGCTCATCAGGCCCACTACGTGGACCATCCTCCTCACCGTCCATACAGGCCCTATCGGGGATTATTGTGGTAGTTGATAGGATTTTTACCACCTACAAAAGTAGGGATAAAAACATTTAAAATTGCTTGCAAGAGTACAAGGTAATTGTAGTATAGTCGGCTCTAGCAAGACCGTTCTCCACATGAATTGAATGAATAATTTGTATTTAAACTAATTCTTAATTAACTATTTGAAAACAACGTTTGAAAAAGGGTGATTTTATGACCAAAAATATTAAAAACGAATTTAATTAAAAACAATTAAATAATTGGCAAAGCAAAGAAAGCAAAAGAAAATGATTTTGGAAAGTTTGGAAAGTAATTTAAACACTAGGGTTCCGCCGTCACCACTAACAATCCTATGCAATTTTACCAATTACTTATTAATTTCCACTTACATGCTTTGAAGGTTAGGTTTTCCTAATACATGTTTTTCCTCGTGATGTTTAAGTGAAAACGTATATCTAACATTGCAACCCATCTGTGATGTTCAAATCAAATATAAACATGCAAAACTCATTAAGCTTTGTGAAAATCCTTTGAAAAACCATGCAACCCTTAAGAGCGTGATGTTAGCCTTAAGTGAACTTACAATTACTAATCACAGGAAGCCCTCCTCAATTTCAAGGTGATGTTGCAACAGAAATTGTATCAAATTATTTATCTAAATGCTCTAATGGTTGCGAATCACTAAGACAATTAGATAGTTTAAACACGGTGATTAATAATTCAAAGCAAGCATGCATCCATTCATAAGCAAATTAATAAAATCACATATTCATGTTAAGGCTCATGGCCTCGCTCTAGCAAAAGGATTAGTTACGCATAATCATAATAAAAACTAAAGAAAATATCATTAACTAGAACAATGATTGAAAACACCTTTGTAGACATCGAAATTTCAGTAAAAAAAAAAACAAATGTTCACCAATGCATTAAAGTTTTGACGTGTCAAGGCATACATGGCATACGCCACGTGTTGTACAAATTGTACACATGGCGTGTGACTCAACAAAATAGGAAGAAATATCCATTGAGGATCAAAACAAGTTTTTCTTCTCATGTTGGGCAATGACAAGGCAAGCACACTTCAATCCATTACGGATCAAAGCAAGTTTTTCTCATTTGGGCAATGACAAAGCATACACATTTCAAGTTTAAAATGGTGTTAAGTGGGAAATTAGGCCATAAGTTACACCACTTCAAGTTTAAAATGGTATTAAGTGGGAAATTAGGCCATAAGTTACACCACTTCAAGTTTAAAATGGTATTAAGTGGGAAATTAGGCCATAAGTTACACCACTTCAATTTCAATATTGCATTAAGTGGGAAAATTAGGCAATGGTGCTTGGAAAGGAAAAAAATATTTTGTGGTGGTGATTCATTCTCAAAGCCTATAAATAGGCTTCTCCATCAAGGTATCAAGCATCAAGGAATTCACAAATACATTTCTCTACTCCAAAATTAGAAGAGGAATTCCTCAAATCCTTGAAGCTTTGAAACTCCAAAGCTTCCAACTATCCAAATTCCCAAGAATTCCGAAGGATCAAGAAAGCTCTCTTCGTTCTTCGTCAAATCCTCCTTCAAGATCAAGCCCCAACGGCCCTTGAAGAACTTCCACCAACTCAAGATCAAGCCCCGACGGCCCTTGAAGAAAGTATTCATTGTTCATCATCCGTTCATCCTAAGATCAGGCCCCAACGGCTCTTTGGATCAACAACATCAACAAATCCACACACACCAAAACCTTGAAGCCTTTAAGATCTAAAGCTCTCAAGAAAATCCCGAAGGATCAAGAAAGCACTCTTTGTTCTTCGTCAAATCCTCCTTCAAGATCAAGCCCCAACGACCCTTGAAGAACTTCCACCAACTCAAGATCAAGCCCCGACGGCCCATTGAAGAAAGTGTTCATCATTCATCATCCGTTCATCCTAAGATCAAGCCCCAACAGCCCTTTGGATCAACGACCTCAACAAACC